TCAGTCCAGCTATGTTTGTAAACTTCATAAGGCTTTATATGGACTTAAGTAAGCTCCAAGAGCCTGGTACTCTACCTTTTCCTCCTTTCTGATTTCTCAAGATTTTGTTAATAGCAAGTGTGATTCTTCTCTGTTTATTCAGAAGACATCATCTACCTTTACTGCTCTTCTAGTGTATATAGATGACGTTTTAATCACTGGCAGTGATACTAAGCATATTTACTCAAATGTACCAACTATTTTCCATGAAAGTACGTAGCCCCATATCTTATTTTCTAGGTATATCTGTTGACTCCTCAGCATCTGGCTATGTTTTATCTCAACCAAAATATGCTTAGGACATTCTTCAAAAAGCTGGGATGATGGATTGTAAACCTTGTTCTTCTCCCCTTGCTGTCAAGCCTGCTGTGTTTCCTACTTCTGATACTCTCTTTGCAAATCTAACTCTGTATCGTAGTGTGGTTGGTGCTTTGTAACCCTTAACCATCACCAGGCTTGACTTGTCTTTGTAGTCAATCAATTATGTCAACGTATGCAAGCACCTACTAATGCTCATTTCTCTGCAATTAAGAGGGTTCTTTGATTTGCTAAGGGTACTCTTAATCATGGTCTCACCTACATTCCTAGTTCTTTTGACCTTCTTGCATATTCTGACTCCAACTGGGCTGGGGATGTTCTTGACAGAAAATCTACCTCTGGTTATTGTGTGTTTCTAAGGTCTAATCTTATCTCTTGGTCTGCAAAGAAATAGGCTATAGTATCTCGGTCCTTCACTGAGGCTGAGTACAGATCTTTGGCCCATACTGTTGCAGGACTTGCTTGGCCTGGCATGCTTCTCCATGATTTTTATATTGCTTCTCCTACTGTGTCTTTGCTCTGGTGTGATAATGTTTTTGCCATTGCTTTGGCGTACAATCCCGTCTTTCATTCTAGATTCAAATATATTGAGGTCGACTGTCATTTTGTGAGAGATGAGGTCTTTGCCAAACATCTTGTCTTGCATTATGTTCCTACCATTGATTAGCTTGCTAATATATTTACCAAGCCATTATCTGTCTCTTGATTTTCCTATCTTAAGGACAAGCTTATAGAGGTTTCACATTCCCTCGCTTGAGAGGGAATGTTGACATTCTAGTTCCAATTCAAGCTCATATGACTGCACCAGTTCAAGGAGTTAAGCTGCGGTCTCATTGTGACATTCTTGTACTGTTGCCTTATGAGAATATCTTTTCAGTCAGTTAGATGGTTAGATAGTTATCAGTATGTTGTTAGATAGTTAGAGATAGTTAGAATAGTTAGTTAGCCTCTGATTTGTATATATGGAGCAGAGAATGATATGTGTAAAGTATGAAGAAAGAGATTATGAAATAAGATTGGTTTCAGTTTTTCTTCATTCACTCTCTCTCTCTCCCTCCTTCGTTTTTTTTTTCTCTAGGTCTTCATTACAGAGACAAATCTCCATTTCTTTGTAAAACACCAAAAAGTAGAAAACAATTGAGTCCCAGATTCCCCCTCCCTCCCTCTCGCTATAAACCTCCATAGTCAAGCTCAAAGTTTTCTAGTCTCCACTATTTATCTTGTATACCCATATCCATTTTTGTAAACTGAACTGAGTCAAAAAATGAAGGGAATGAAGGGGAATTTACTAGAATTTATCTGGGTCTTGTTCAACTTGCTGTCATCGTCCCTGTTCGTCGTCTCTGGTTGGAGAGATGAGATCGAAAAGAAAAGAAAAAAATTCAGTGCCAAAACAACATCGTTTTGACCCCATAGCAAGGACCATGGCAAGAAACTATGGTAGAGGATTTGGACTCTATGTTTTTAGCCAATCACAAAACTATGCCTTCTTATATTTTGTAATCACTCAACACAAAGTTATGAATCTTTCCTTTTCTACCAATCAGAACACATTTAAAACACCACGTGATCTTGGCCCTGGCCGTGCTTGTGGCGGTGCCTATACTCGTGTGCCAGAACCAATCAATAACTTCTCCATCACCAAGAGAGACATGTGTTGCTGCTCAATTATTTATTTATTTATAATTACACTATTATCTTTATATTTACAAAGTGTTTTTTTTTTCAACCCTTCAAAAATTCTAATTACCTTAAATCATTTAAGATTCCTTTAAAACTATATATATATATATATATATATATTTTCAAATACCCTTACCGTTTTTCTATTAGTCACATAAAAACTCTAAATACGTAAATGACTCTTCTTCTTTTCTCTCTATTTTCTTTATTTTGTTCTGACCTTGCAAAATTAGTGTTTCTCTTCCAACATAGTTTGTATAATTTTTCTTTGGAGACCTTTCTTAAGTTTTTATTGGGCAACTTGTTTGTATGGTTTCTAGAGGTTGCTTGCTGTGTTGAGTTAATTTTGGCCTTTAATTAATTAGTAAGGCTCATTAATAAATTGAATCAAAATTAAGGAAAAAAATGGTCTATTTTCTCTCTTCATAGTTGTGTAGGGATGATTCTACAATGTAGAGAATGAATGTGCTTCATGGCCGAACTGCTCTACTCCAGGGAGGTGAAGGTCTGCATAGATAACAAACAGTGAGGTTGCCCGATCGGGATTTGGTCGGTCTGGAGAGATATAGAAGACGAGTGAAGAGAGAGAGAGTAAATGAATTTGAATCCTTTCTTAAAAGAAAGAGTACACCTTATATAGGTGGTGTTGCGCCTATATAAACTCTTGTGTTGGGTCAGTCTATATGGAACTTTGCTCTGCCTTTAAATGGGCCCCCTACTAGTGGACGGTAGGATTGGTCCCCCATAGATTAGTTAAAGTACGTACAAACTGATCCGGACACCCTGAGTTATCAAAAAATAGGCTGTGCTGCCTTGCTCTCCAAGGGCTTATGGTCGTGACGTCAACTCTTTTTCATCCTCTCTTTGTTAGACCTGGAGGTTCGTCAACTCTTGCATGTGCTCTTCAATGTGTTAGACATGAGTTAAATTACGCAATCAGGTTGCTACGGGTCAAGTTGGATTGTACCAGATCCTTTACGAACCTACCAGCCTATTGGGTTAGGTTGCTCAGCCCAACTTAGCTTTACTTGGCCCAAGTTCATACTTGGGCTATGTAGTTCGAACCAACTAATGTGGTCGACCCAAGTTCGATTTGGGCTATGTTGTTCGGATCACTCTGTTCGTTGGACTCAAACTTGTGCTTGGTCTTTATGTTTGGGCTTGTGTGGTTTGGACTGATGAACGCTAGCTTTGCCCAAGCTCCTGCTTGGGTTTGGTGCTTTGATCCTCTAATGCTGCTATGCCCAAGCGTAGCGCTTGGGCTTTGAAGTTGTTCTTTGTTGTTTTAACTATGCTTGGCCCAAAGTTACATATGACCCCCTTCCATAGTGATTGACGGGTTGACTTACCATTTGGAATGGTCCATTCACTTTTTGAATGAACCCTTTGACCATTAATTGTAGTACAATTTTTTAAAGGGGAGTAGTCAATTTTATGCAATTGGCACAACTTGAAAATTATAAGGGTTAAATTGGTGCTTTTGAAATTGTGGTGACTAAAATGATGCATGGCAAACTATAAAGACCATTGCTGTAATTTTTCATTTCGTAATTTTGCAATGTGTTTTTCTTTTCTAACGGATATATATGTTTTGTGCTTAATATTAACTCAAAATTTTGTAATATATTATTGTTGTTGAGAAATTTTTTTTTTTTTGAGTTTGAGATCAATAAAGTGTTCCTCCTAAAGTAATTTTCTGGCATCACTACTATTATGAACATATTTAAATTTCTTTTACAACATATATGTAACTTCACTTTTTAATTTCTTTAATATAAATAAAAAAAAATTCTTATAAAATAATCAATTCTTATAACTTCATTCCAAAAATTTCATAAAACAATTGTAACTTTACCATTTTAGAATTGTAAATGAACTGGGTTAAGACAAGTAATAGTTAGTTAAAATTTGATTTTGAAATGAGTTTCAAATGTGTTTAAATTCGTCTTATTTACCTTTTAACCGATTTCAAAAGAGTTTTAATCAAGCTTAAATTCTTGTAATGAATATAAATCAAGGGTAGTAGATAGTTTAAGCTTAGTTTGAAATTTAACGAGTATTAAATATATGTTCAATGTTTTTTTTTTTTTTTTTTGGTTATTGAAAAATGGGGAAACAAAAAAAAAAAAAAAAAAAAAAACACAAAACAAAATGCAGGGGGCCTCCTTCCTGACTAAATTCTTATAATGCATATAACTAATCATATTTTTGTCTATCCATGTTAGCTTACAGTATCATTACTGGATTGTCTTGTCTTTTGTAATTTTAGGCTTAGTAGTTGTGACTCTTAATTTTTATCCTTGTTCTTGAGCAAGTCAAATGCCTATCTCAGTTGCAACTAAACATAGGCTTTCCCTTTATTTCATTCTCTACAATTTTTCTTCATACCAAAATCATGTCCTTTTTCTTTTCTTTTATGGCTGCTAGCATTATGTCGGTGCCATATTTTTTTAGGGTCAAAACACAGCTGCTCTTCGTGCTTTTACTATGGATATTGTTTTTTATTGTGGTTTCTTCTTTTTTTTTATTTTTTATTTTTTTTGGGTCCAATTTTTTGATGCCTTCCTCTTTTAATTTCTCACCTAGCAGTGTTGCAATTTCATTCCATTTCTTGCTCAACTGCTAGGAAGAATCATTTTACCCATTTTGTTGTTTGTATGGGGTTTTTTTGGTTTCTTGGATCAATTATTTTATTTCTCTTTTATTAGTTCTCTCTCTACCAAACCTATCGATTATTTTTGTAGTTCGGACATCGCTGAGATCATATTTTAGTTTGAGGATGCACACAGATTTGTACATAATAAAATCAATTACTTTCATTTAGTGAAATGTATTAAGTACATCCAAACTTTATCGTACTTGATATATATATATATATTTTTGATCGGCAAATGAAATCTTTATTGATGAAAACATACAAAGTATGATAAATTACATCAATAAAGCGGAGTTTGGAACTGTCACAAAGCTCCAAGTGCCAGTTGGTGAGAAACCAACAAACCAGAGAGCAAAAGATGCTGCCACACATCAAACATAGATGAAAAAATATACAAAAAACTAGAGAGTAGCAGCGGAGACTAACAGATAGTCAAACTTGAAGACAACAACACAAACAGCAGAACAACATAGAACAACACTGAAATCAAATAGTAGAACATCACAAAACTTCATCACAAAACTTCATCCACAACTTCACCCAAAAGCTCAAACAGCAGAGCAGCATAGCAATCCAAACAACCGTTCACCACAAAAACTGCACCACAAAGGCAACTCCTTACAGCACAACAACACAGTAATCCAAACAGCACTACATATCTACAGCAGAACCTCCCAAGCACTTCCTGATTTGCCTCAAATTAAGAATGAAATCCTGCACTAAAAAATGGAAGTCTCTGAGGAATGGTTTTAACCAAAAAGCAATCCTATACTTAATTAAATCACAGAGATCCGTCAGGTTTGGAAGAGTTGCTCTAAACACACATTCATTTCTATACTTCTAGATTGACCACATCACAGCCAATGGAATGACCCTCCAAATCTTCCTTTCTTTCTTCTTTAGCTTCCCTCCTGCCCACCACAGAAGAAGACTCCCAACAGAACCTGGTATAGCAGCTTGGACATCCCACCACTTCAGCATTTCAGCCCAAATCTTCCACATAAAGGGACACCAAATTAATACATGGTTCACTGATTCTCTGCCACTGTCGCAAAACACACAAGCTGTGGAGGCTGTTTGATTAATCACTCCCAGTTTTTGTAAAAACTCCTTTGTCTTAACTTTCATTTTCCAAGCAAACCAACCAAAAACTTGCACCTTAGGAGGGATGTACTTGAGCCAAATCAGTTTGGTAATACTCATGGGGGCACCCGCATTGTCCACAACAAACTTATATAAAGCTGATACATTTAGAACCCCATAAGGTGAGGCTGACCATACAGGCTAGTTAGCACACTCTGGACACACTACAGGAGCCACCAACAGATAATTAAGAAGCCTATCTAGCTCTTGCTCCTCCCATTCATATAACTCCCTTCTAAATGCCAGGGACCAATAACCAACTATAATTTTCTTATCAACTAGTACTCTCAAGGATTCCTTTTTTTTTTTTTTTTTTCATAGACAACCTATACAGAGTTGGGAATTCATCATTCAAACAAGCAGATTGACACCATGTATCAGACCAAAACCTGATCCTCCTCCCATCCCCAACCTTCAAATGAAAATTATTCAAATAAAATCCTTTAGACTATTGCACTATTTAGCAACAGAAATGATCCCTTTCCAAACTGTCGAGTGGCTGTTAGATGGAATACGAGATGAAATCTAGCCACCCACCTCCATCTTATATCTGCTATGTATTACTCTTTTCCACAAAGCATCCTTTTCACTACCAAACCTCCACCACCATTTAATTAGCAAACACTTGTTCACATCCCTTATTTTCCTAATGCCCAATCCTCCTTGATCCACTCTTTTAGACAATTCCTCCCATTTGATCATATAAATTTTCTTTTCCAGTTCAGAACCACCCCATAAGAATGTAGCTTGAAGCTTCTCCAACTCTCTAACAACCCCTTCAGGCATCTTGAACAATGACAAATAGAACACTGGAAATGCTGATGTTATTGATTTAACAAGTCTTAGCCTCCCTGCAAAAGACAACATTTTCCTTTTCCAACCAGCTAGTTTGCTTTTGACTTTATCCACAATTGGTTTCCAAGTAGCTTTCTTCCTTGGGTTAGCTCCTAATGGCAGCCCTAAATAACTGAGTGGTAATGATTTGATTTTACAATTCAGTACTGCAGCAAAACCATCCATCATCTCCGTAGAAACACCCACACCACATACAACACTCTTATGAAAGTTTATTTTCAGGCCAGACATGATTTCGAAGCACCTTAGCACCTTTTTCAACTTCCGCACCTCATCCACCTTAGCTTCACAGAATAATAATGAGTCATATGCAAACTATAGATGAGTTAAAAACACACCAGCATAGCCTACCTTTACACTTTTAATCAGGCCTAACTCAAAAGCTCTATTCAATAACATATGTAAATCTTCTGCTGCTAGATTAAACAGAAAAAAAGGACAAAGAGTCTCCTTGTCTTAGACCCCTTTGAGGGTAAACTCTTTAGTATAGGAGATCCATTAACTAGCATTGAGACCCTTGCAGTTGTTACACACTCCTTAATCCAATTGGTCCACTTAGCTCCAAACCCAAACTTAGAAATCATAGAGAATAGAAAACCCCAATTAATGGAACCATATGCCTTTTCAAAATCCAACTGAATAAGCACTCTCGTTTTTTTGGCTTTCTTTTATCCATCAACAACCTCATTAGCAATTAGCACCCCATCTAGAATATTTCTTCCACTTAAGAACGCAAACTGAGACTCACTTATGATATGTGGCATCACAGTTTTCAGTCTATTTGCCAACAGTTTTGCTATGATCTTGTAGATAGAGCCCACCAAGCTTATAGGTCTATAGTCAGATAGCCCTGTTGGATTATCCTTCTTAGGAATGAGGGTTATGAAATAACTGTTTATACCCTTCACCAATTTACCATTCTTATGAAATTCTTTTACAAAGTTAATCACATCACCCTTCATGACTTTCCAAAACTTCTGAAAACACAACAAATTAAACCACCAAGTCCTGGCGCTTTATTCCCATCACAATCCATCACTGCTGCTTTGATTTTTGCTTCTGTAAATTCTGTTTCTAACAAACCAAACCTCACCCTACCTTCTACTGGTGGAAAATGACCCCCAACTCAGGTCTTGATGGCCAGTGCTCTGAGTACTGATTCTTAAAGTGCTCAAAAACCTTACTCTTCACTTGACTCGGATCTTCAAACACCACCTCCCTTTCTATGATAGAATTTATTTCATTTCTTGTTGTTCTGCACTTTGTTACTACATGGAAATATCTTGTATTTTTATCCCCTTTCATTGCCTAGTTAAGTCTTGATTTTTGCCGCCATAACCATTCCACCATTCTACTCAACCTCCACATCTCAACTCTAACTTCACTTCTCCTAACTTTTTCCGCATTGTCAAGCTCTCTAACCTCAGCTAGAAGATCGAAGCTATGAAGTTCACCCTTTACTGCCTTGAATTTATTTAGTACATTTCCAAAAATCTCCACATTCCAACTTTTGAGGCCACTTTTCAAGATCTTCAACTTTTGAAGCAACATAAACCCAGCCCAGCCTTTTACCCTGGACTCTTGCCAATTTGTCTCCTAGAAACTCTGAAAATTTTTGTGTAAGAACTAAGCATTTAGTACCCTAAAGGACTTTGGGCCCCAGTCCCTCTCATCTTCCGTCATAAGGAGAGGGCAGTGATCAGAAACCAGTCTAGGTAGTCCCCACAGTTTTAGGTTGAACACCTCAAGCCATTTTGGGTCAACTAAGATTCTATCTATTTGACTTCACTTCTCACCAGCACATGAATTGCACCAAGTGAACCTTCTCCCAAGCAGTGCTGTGGACTCGCCTTTTTTTGCGCCTTGCCTTTCAGAAAGGGTTTGAAAAGAAGGCCTTACAGTTTGGACTCCCGTGGTTTTGAATCTAATCTCACAAGTGCAATGTGAAATTGACAATCACCAAAGAGTCCACATCTGGCAAACCTTTTTGGAAAATCGATTTTAAATCAAATAATTCCAAAATTGGACTGCTTTGCCAAATATAGAGTCGCCACCTAAATATTTTATTTTGGAAAAATTTAGGAAACCCTGATTTGTGCCAAAGGCTACGTGTCCATCATCACCAAAGTTGCCTCGGCTCGGGAACTTAGGTACAAGAGGGGAAGGTCTTGAAATGAGCACCCATGCTCGCCAGATCAAAGATCGGCATCTACTAATCATGATATGTTCTTTTAAAAACATTTTATGTTTTTTATTCTAGTTATTAAGCTAACATTACTATGTGGCGCACACAAGCAAGTATAGACTAAAATTGCAAGAATTGGAATAACTCAGCTCATGTTTGTTAATGAAAATGGTTTGAACTTGCCACCCTCAAGTGGGCTTAAAGATGTGGATTTGCCACCAAACATAGTGGGCTTAAAACATGATTTTGCCACCAAACATAGTGGGCTTAAAACTCACATTCGTTGAATCGTTCTAATTCAAACAACACGCCTTCATCCACAGGCATCCATGCAGTTAAGCATTTAAGCACATAGCCTCATGGCAAGCGTGCGAAACATGGCAACATTCACACTTATACAAGTATGCCAAAGCATAAAACTCACCGAGTGCTCCAAGCCAAAACAGAAACTAGTTAGAAAAATGCATGATCCTAACTATGTTAAATGACTAATGCAACACATGTAATAACGCAACTAAATAGGTTCGACTACTTAATCATGATATTTGCAACACTTTGACAGCATGCTTTGAAACACGTATTCAAAGAAGTATTGAAATTGACAATGCAGTTTGAATGATGCGCCGAGCCTTAGTGCATGCAAGACAAATGAATGGATGCAAACATGTAATCATAAGGTATGCTAATTGAAAATGTCTATAATCTAACCATCAAAAGCGGATAAATAAAAGGGAGAAATGCGTGGGGTTGGAAGACACGCACACACGCACGCACACTTATTACAACATTATGCCATCACGAAGGAGGGTCTGAATGAATAAGCTAAGCTAACTAGCTATGCTAGTTAAGCTAACTATTACAAAACAAAATTACTTAACTACTCTAGCTAATCAATGATTATTACAAACCAAGTTAAGCTAATTAATTACAAAACGAATCAATTAATTAAATAATTATAACATTTGCATGAATGAATTAGCTACAACTTACTAACAAAGCAATTAAACCACCTCGAGGGACGAGGGATGCATGCATGCTCAGATTCTCCTCCCGAAAATGCCACCGCCTTGCCATTGCAGCCTCTGTTTACACATGTTTGAACACCAACAGTGCCGCCAACTTCCAGAATGCCTTTGCTCCAACTCAGGAGCACACTTGTGCAAAATTTCATTTATGGCCGGTCGGCTACAAATGGTGGCCGTCGGCTACCATTAGTGGCCGGTCGGCTACTACTGGTGGCCGTCGGCCACCCCTTCCCTAGATTTCTTCTTTTGCTGCAACAGAGAGAAAACAGAGGGAAAGCAGTGTATTCTCACAGAGTGTGTACTGTTGCTCTCCTTATCATCACATAAGCTCAAAGGAGAGTAAATCTTGACCCTCGAACCATCAACCAAGAATTCTCCATGCATGATGGCCAAAGAACCAAGCTTGTAAAAGCTTAATGACTGCAAAACAAGACTCAACAAAACCACAACCTTATCATGCATGATCAAGGGTGATGGTGACCAAGAAAAGTGGCATGTTTCATCACTTTGAGTATGAAATGTCTCATTTTTCTTGTGTTCGAATTAACGTTCGATTTGAACACATGCGATGCAACACAAAGATGCTTAATCTAGCCTCCTTTACTTGCCATGTTTTGTTTACTCATTTTAGTTTACCAATCCATTCTTTAGTTGATTAGTCCAAAGGGTGAGTGTCCTCTAATTGAAAGAGGGCTTAAACCACAAGTGCCTTGAGCATGAAAGAGATCTCATGCCGTTCATAATGAACTCCCGAAGGAATTAAACCATTAAGCATGAATGTCTCAATTTCACACTTAAGCCAACAAGGGGTTCAAAGCCACTTTCAAAATGAATGAAAGAGTGAAACAAAGGAGCATGTGAAAAAGCTTATGACGCTGAATTAGAAGGCAAAGTAGCACCACAACACGCTTTCGACTCAAAAGAATGATGATCAAAGCATTGAAACAACAAACTAGTGAAGGAAATTACACTACAACCACACAATACAAGCCTTAAAGGACCAAGCCCGCTCAAAATAGAGCTGAAACCAGTCAAAATAGTAGCAAAAAAATGATGAGATTAAGGTACAAAATGCTAGAAAAACATGCTCACATGCTAAGCTATCTAGGCATGCAAACAAGACACAAGGAGGGGAGACTACCTCCTCCAATTTTGGACTTCCAAATAAGGTTTTTGCCACTGAAATAACTCTGAATTTCAGTGGTTAAGAGGCCCAAATAGTATGATTTCAATATGCCAAAAGATGGTGCAAAAGTCTACACAATTAAGCAACAAGAAAGGTGTAACACCCCTTAACACAAAATAGCCTCAAACTATCATGTTAAGCCTTAAAAACCAGAGGTTTTTGTAGTTGAAAACCAGCTCAAAAACAATACAAAAGGATGGCAAAATAAGTGTGCACAATAAGCTTAAATGGGGTAAGTTCTCTACCTTTGAAGCACAGCACAAAACAGCCACAGTTTTAGGCTCAAACCTCCTTTCAAAGCTCAAACTAGGCTCCAAGGGACCTCAGCTCCAAGGTGGTCAAGTTTGGTAAAGGGTTAGTGTGCAAAAGTGTAGAGAAAACTAACTACAAAGCACAAAATAAGAAGAGAGAGAGAGAATTTTGTTTTAAAATGTCTAACCCATCCAAATGGGGGATGGCATCCCCTATATATAGAAAACCAAGGTTGAAGCTTGAATTCATCCTACCATACACGTGTATGAAGATGCACTTCAGTGAGCAACAGCTGGCACAACTGGCAAACAAATATCTAAAAAAGAGACAAATGGCCGATGGCCACTAACCGGCCACCACTAGTGGCCGACAAGGTACAGGGCTGGCCGACAGGCCCTCCTCCCTCCAGGCAAGAGACAAGGAGCTCTCGGTCCAAAAACAAGCACAAAATAGATAGGTTTAGAGGCTCAAAGACAAGGCATTCCACCGAGGACTTCGGGCGCTCAAAACGAACACAAACAAACACAATCATCGAGTGCATAAACGATGACGTCCAAGTTATAAGGATGGTTAAAAATGGGGTGTCTACAGTTGCCCCTCTTTGACAGAACTCGGAAGTCATAAAATGACGTTAGTGAATGTCAAAGCCCAGAGACGACTCATTTTTGACAAGGCCGAAGACTCGATCAAACAAACAAACAAAACAAAGAACGGTTGCGCCTGCAGGTTGCCTATGTATCCCTTTGCAAGGAATCAAACCAGCGTAGTTCTGGGGCAAGATGCAAAATGATATGCACGATGCAAGAACATAACTTATGATCATGGAATGAGGCTGTAATGAAACATCTAGATGCAAGCGTTATGCAAAGAAATGCTACATTCATACAAACCGAAACAAGGTATAGCAACCTCACACACGAAAGTAGGTAAGTAAATACGAACCAAACCATATTTCATGTAGAAAGGATGTAAGAAAATTATGCAATCTTAACTACGCATCACGCAGGAAAGGTAAAGGACAACACAAACATCGGGCGCACCCGAGGTATCAAACAAGATCCTAACGCGTTGTACACGTGAGAAGAAAGATGGTGTGAACATAGGGACACACCCAAATGCTCCTAACCGGAGCAGTGATAAATATCAGAACACGTCCAAATATTTGTAACCAAAACAAAGAGTGGCATAAGCGTCAGAACTCATCCGAATGTGTTTAACCAAAGCATCCTAACGCGTCACACGTGAGAGGAGAAGATAGTGGCATAAACATTGGGCGCACCCGAATGTTTCTAACTGAAAGAAGTGGTGTAAACA